AAGCAGCATGATGCAATGTCTAGATGTTGAACTGGGGCTCTGGGGATTAGGATTTGATTACCCACTCAGCCATGGAAACCTATTGTATGACCTTGGGCAAATCATACTCTTCTCGGCCTCAAAAGAAGGCAAAGGAAAACCTCCTTTGAACAGATCCTATCCAGAAATCCCTGTGGTAGGTTCATCTCAGGGCCACCATAAAAGGAAAATGACTTCAAGATACACAGTAACAGTAAAACAATAATAAATATAGGACTTCAAACTGGATTGTAGCAACTAGTAAAAGTGTAGGGTCTGAGACCCATACACGGAAATCAAAATAAATGTTGTTCAGAATGACTATAGCATGTAACTGCTGAACATATCTAAAAATGTCAGAATCTAAAAAAAATCTTTAAAATCCCTCAACAACAGGAGACCCACTGAGTCAATGGAACTTATATAATGGTTAACTTTAAAAATCATACTCATTTGATCAATCAATTGTAGTTAGTACTGGCAACTGGATTTATCTCACAGAGACATATTGGTGAGCTGTTGTTGAAACTTCTAAAAGCTTGTGGAAAAACCAGTTCTCAAGAAATTGTACAGTGTGCTAGTAAATGCCTAGACTGAATTCAAGGGTCTAATGAAATGCAAAAGCTTCATTATATGAAAGATCACCTCTTCCTAAATATTGGCGGGGAGGGGGTCCTCTTCTGTGTCCCACCAATGGGAGTAATACACTACATGAGAACGTGATAGTTGGCCTTCCCAGCTGTGGTATTCTAGCTGTGGAAGGTCCTCCTCCAGAAGACTGGGTTGGTACCAGTGTTAGTCTTAGTTTGCCTTTTTATAAAACCTTTGGAGGCCTAAAAACTTCATGCAATGGTTTTATATTGTTTTAATTACAACATTTTATGCTGTGCAGTTCTTCAATATGCTTTTAGAATGTTTATGCTATTGGTGTTGCTTTCATTTTTATTGTCCTACTAGCCATCCCCTGCCACGCGTTGCTGTGGCCCAGTCTGTGTATATGTGTTTTGTGTGTGTATATGTGTGTGTACATATTTGTGTATACGTGTGTTTGCGTATATATATGTGGTTTTGCATATGTGTTGTAATGTATTTTTTGTTTTTTGGTTTTTTAAGTCTCTTCTGCTGTGTTTTTCAGTGTTTTTGTGAGTGATGGTCAATCATTGGCCTGATAGGTGTATTGTGTCCAATTTTGGTGTCAATTCTTTTAGTGGTTTTTGAGTTATGTTAATCCCACAAATGAACATTACATTTTTATTTATATAGATTACTCTACCTTTAAATCATTTGACGGATTTCATTGTAAGCTGTCCAGATTTCCAATTATAGTATTGAGATAGTATTGCAAATAAACAAATAATATTATTTTTAATTATTCCTGCTGCAGACATGTAAAATAGTGAGATCCATGCGTGTTTTTAGTTTAAATCTATTTACTGAGTTATAATTCTTAAGGGAAACCAACATAAAACATCTACTATTTTGTCATACTTTATTTTTTACTTTATTTTTTCAAATCCCTACTGCAATATTCTGGTTCACACAGTAAATAGAAAATGAAACACCTTTGTCCTAAAGCTTAACAGCAGCTGCTAAATCTGCACAACTGCTAGAATTATTCAAAAAGAAATATATATCTTGTTTTCTCTGAGGACAGGTCAAGAGCAAGTTGGTTGAACCTTAAGAAAATTCATGGCTTAGCTGCAAAACTAAGAATTTTGCTCAACAGGATTGTGACAGATTTGCTAACTGGGTTCAATTTCCTGCCTTTCTTTGTTTTCTTTTTTCTTTCATCCTGGTCTTAACTAATCATGTAAGGTTCTGTTCTCTCCTAAAAGTAGTAGAAGAAGGTTACTAGATCCTGAAGATAAGTTATTTCTGGTCAAGGTGCAAAGTTAGTGAACTTTGTGTCTTTGAATGTTTATCTCCTTTATTATTGTTATTTACCTGTCTGGTAAAAACTTATATTGTTCTGGTATGCTTTTGGCATGGCTATGGGCTAAAATCCTGTTCTTCTTGCTTTGAATACCAGGAAAGTTTAATCTGCTGTGCATTTCTTTTCATTTTTCATCTTCAAATATTTTATTATTTTATTTTTAATTTTGGTTACCTGTTCAAGAAGCCCCTGAGTTTAAAAAAAAGAGGTAAAAAGAGGTTAACAAACAAGTTTGAAAGCTACATGAGATGCTGGCAGATGGTGGACTATCATAAGTGAGAGACACTCATCAAAATGGGATGCCCTTAACACTTGCTACACATTTCTGACAGTTTCTGATGCCAAGACTCTTTCTATCAAATTATAGCTTCCTTGAAGCTAACAATTCTACCTTGAGTTCAGAAAATGTATATATAGCATTGAAGAAGTGCTACATGACCCTGGCTCACAGAATAGTTCCATAAGAGTACCAATGAGAAATCATTTGCCCATACCTTCTCACAAACTTTCTTCATTTCATTAATGGTAGTATCTCCTTGTTGTTATTTTGCTTTCAAGTATTTTTCAGCCAATGGCAACCCTAATGTGATCCTATGACAGGGTTTTTCTTGGGAAGGCTGTTCAGAAGAGGTTTGCTGTGGCTGAAAGAGTGTGTCTTGTCCAAGACTACCTAGTAGATTTCATAGCCAAGTGAGAATTCAAATCCTAGTCTCCCGGAGTTGTAGTTCAATGCTGAAATCATGCTGGCTCCTAGTATCTCCTAGACTGTGGTATTACTAAAATAGTGTGCCAAAATTAGGAAAGCAATAACTTTGATGCTCACAGATCTGTACTATCAGAATGTCTTATAACACTAAATTTTAAAAAAGAGGTACTTGTGCTAGCCAAAATGACCAAGCTAAGTCTGTCAGGTTTTGCAGATCTCATGTGACAATGTGACTCAGTGAGAAAAGCAACAATGCTTGGTAAAGTGAAAGGCAGGTGGATTGATTTAATAAAGGAAGACACAGCTCTGAGTTTGTAAGATGCTCAGGACTGCTGTAGCTTTCTCATTCGTAGAGTCACCAGAAGTCAAAGCTACTTGACAGCAAATATAACAAAACTTGTTTTTCTCCCAAAACCTACAGATTGTTATTCAATGGTTCAGATCTTTCAGCAGAGAGCAAAACAAATGGGAGGTGCTAGTCATTGTTTCTTCATATTCTTTCACTGGTGTTTGAAAGATGAACAAACAAAACTTAGGTGCCTCATACCACTGTGCTTGCTGGCATAAATCTGAAAAAACGGATTGTGTATTTTGAAAGCATTGAGTATAAGGTAATGTGAAGATGATGCAAGCTTTTTGTCTGTGATACCTGGTACTATACAGTTAAGAAAAACTGCTAAAACTGGGTTATTAGTATCAAAATATAAACAAATGTTATATCTGATATGTTGTTGCAGACTATTAATACAGTTTGCAACAACATGTCAGTATATTGGCTTGATTTAGGGTCAATTCCTAAAGAAAATGTTTGTTGTTCAGTTGCTTTCGACTCTTTGTGACCTCATGTACCAACCCACACCACAGCTTCCTGTTGTCTGTCATCACTTCCAGCTCCTTCAAGGTTGAGTCAGTCGCTTCAAGGATAACATCCATCCATCTTGCCCTTACTTGGCCCCATTTCCTTTTTCCTTCCATTTTCCCCAGCATCATTATCTTCACCAAGGTATCCTGTCTTCTCATTATGTGGCCAAAGTACTTCATCTTTGCCTTTAATATCCTTCCCTCCAGTGAGCAGTCGGCTTTATTTCTTGGAGTATGGACTGGTTTGATCTTCTTGCGGCCGAAGGCCTCTTAGAATTTTCCTCTAGCATCACAATTCAAAGGTGTCTATCTTCCTTCGCTCAGCCTTCCTTATGATCCAGTTCTCGCATCCATAGGTTACTATGGGGTATACTACTGCTTTAACTATGCGGACCTTCATTGTTGGTGTGAAGACTCTACTCTCGACTATTTTATCAAGATTGGTCATTGCTCTCCTCCCAAGAAATAAATGTCTTCTGATTTCCTGGCTGAAGCCTACGTCTGCAGTAATCTTTGCACCTAGAAATACAAAGTCTGTCACTGCCTCCACCTTTTCTCCCTCTATTTGCCAGCTATCAATCAGTCTGGTTGCCATAATCTTTCACATTCAAGTCCACAAGGAACTATTTTATAGCAAGACAACAAGCAGACAGCAGGTAGATGTACTACAATCTTTTCCCAAATATTTTCCACCTCTGTCTTTCTAACTTCAATCTAATGCCACAATGAGAATTCTTAGGGAGTAAAAACAGTAATGGAATCTGTAAAAATGTTTTAATCTTTACATTGTATCTCTCTAGCTTTTCAGATCTGCTTTTAATCTCATGGTCAATTTATTATAAATATACTAAAGATGCATTTTTGGTTTTTAAAAAATAATCATGAACAATACCTGTGTTTATTTAGCAAAGTAAATGAGGACAAAGAGATCTATTTGGAAGGGCACAGTGTGCTGTTCTGTTGAAAAGTACTGGGCAGGTTAATGAGAATTTAATGAGATCTTAAAATGCTAGAACAACCTCTTCCATTTTAAACTTTCAGGCTTTTTCTTTGCAGCTCTGGCTTTCACAGACACATTTATAAAGGGGTGAATCTGAAGACACATTAAGTGATCTGACCTTGAAATATTTTCCTTCAAACAGGTGGAAATCACAACACTTCTTCTACCTTTCATACTTCCATAATTATTTCATTTTCAGTACTGAGCTGAGACCTTCCACCACCCACACACTATCAGGCCTCATCAGGACTCTTACTGTTGCCACTAAAATCACCGAGACATTTTTAAAAAGTCTCTTTATTGAAATGGCAAGTTTCTTCCTTCATTTTAACAAAATCAGAGACATGGGTCTTGTTTATAATGCAGCAGAACAAGATGTTAACAGGTGGACAGTATTACCAAAGAGTGTAGGAGTGCGCATCATGTTTTTGACTGGTCCCCTCCAACTCCTTGCAAGTTTTCTTTTCTTTTTTTTTCAAAAAGTGAATATCGGGAAGAAAGCTGCTAGTTCAATTTCTCTTTGCAGGGAGAAGGATTACACTGGACAACATATGTTGGTGCCTCAAATGTTAGACCTGTTTCTGGGTATATTTGACCTAATGATTCAAAAAATAGCACAAATTCTCCCCTATCACCCCTACTTTTTGAAATACAGAACATATGTCCCCTAGGTTGAAAATACTGCTGTTGAATGCCAGGTCAATAAATGAAAAAACAACTGCTGGATGAACATGCTGACCCGATTTGTATCACAGAGACCTGTCTGAATGATATTTGGGGGCAGGGAGGCGTAAATCTCTCTCAGCTCTGCCCACCAGCATTCTCTGTATAGCAGCAGGCAAGACCTGGGGGCTAGGGAAGTGGAGTTGTAGTGGTCTATGGTGGTTCCATCCCCCGACCAGGTTCCCCATCCCACAGTCAGCAGAGTTCAAGTGTATTTACCTAAAGTAGGTAGTGTGACAGAATAAGGATTCTGTTGGTGTCCAGTGTTGATGGATATCTTTCAATTTCTCAGTCTGAGGATGTGGGCAGTATCTTTGGAGAGGTGAGAGCTACCACATGTATTCTAGATCCTTGCCCTTCTTGGCTGATCAAACAGGCCAGAGGGGGACTGGCAGGCCAGAGGGGGACTGGCAGAGTGAGTAAAGGTGGTGTTCAATGCTCCTTGGAACTAGGCAGAATTCCAACTTGCCTAAAGGAGGCAGTTATGAGACTCATATTAAAAAAGAACCATCCCTGACCCCCCTCGATAATGGACAAGTATTGGCCATTGTCCAACCTCCTTTTTTTGAGCAAGGTTTTGGAGCATGTGGTGGCCTCCCAACTCCAGGGATTTCTGAATGAAACAGATTATCTAGATCAGTGCTTCTCAACCTGTGGGTGCCCAGATGTTTTGGCCTTCAACTTCCAGAAATCCTAGCAGCTGGTAAACTGGCTGGGATTTCTGGGAATTGCAGGCCAAAACACCTGAGGACCCACAGGTCAAGAACCAGTGATCTAGATCCATTTCAATCTGGTTTCAAGTCTGGCTATAGAACAGAGACATCTTTAGTCACCTTGGTAGATGACCTACACAGAAAGCTAGACAGAAGTGTGTTCATGTTGGTTCTCCTGGACCTCTCAATGGCTTTCAATTCACTGGGATGGGACTAGAAGACACTGTTTTACAGTGGCTCCGTTTCTTCCTGAAAGGCCATGCCCAGAAGGTGATACTGGGAGACTCTTGTTTTCACCCCTGGCTATTGTCCTGTGGGGTTCCCCAGGGTTCCATTTTGTTCCCCATGCTGTTTAACATATACATAAAACCACTGGGAGAGGTCATCCGAAGTTTTGGAGTGTGGTATCACCTCTATGCAGATGACACCCAACTCTATTACTCTTTCCCAACTAAAGCCAAGGAAGCCGTCCTGACCCTAAATCAGTGCCTGTTATCAGTAACGGACTGGATGAGGGCAAATAAGTTGAAACTTAATCCTGACAAGACAGAGGTTCTCCTGGTCAGTCAGAAGACAGATGAGGGAATAGGGTTCCAGATTTAAACTGGATGGGCTTACACTCCCCCTGAAGACACAGGTTCACAGTTTGGGGTCCTCTTGGACTTTGCTCTGAACCTGGAGGCCAAGCTATCAGTGGTGGTCAGGAGGGCCTTTGAACAATTAAAAGTTGTGTGCCAACTGCACTCATTCCTTGAAAAGCCCGTTCTTGTCACAGTGGTACATGCCCTAGTTACATTCTGTCTGGATTACTGTGACATGCTATATGTGTGACTGCTTTTGAAGAATGCTCAGAAACTTCAGCTGGTCCATAGCGCTACAGCCAGGTGGCTAACTGGGTCTAGCTGTAGGAAGCAGATAACCTCACTCCAGTAGCTCCACTAGCTGCCAGTTTGGTTCAGGGCACAATTCAAAGTGCTGGCTATGACCTTGAAAGAAGAATGTTTTAAAGATTAAGTCAGGGGCTGTTGTGGTATTTAGTTTTGAATATGTTTTTATGGATTTTAACTGAATTATTACTACCAATATTTAATTCTGTTTTAATGTTTGTACATTTGTAGATTTTAAGGCAAATGCTTCTTCATTCTGTTTTCTCTCTCATAGAGCACCTTCTTCTACCCACACTTCTTCTAGCTATGCTCATTATTTTCCTACATGTTACATCACTATTCAAGAATTGATTAAATAGGTCTCCTTTATATGAGACTAATAGCAGACTAAAGACTTTATATTATTTAGTAATGCACCTGGAAAACTGTGTGTGCTTATGTATTTGCTTTATTTTTTATCCCACCCTACTCTCCACCGAAACTCAAAGCAGCTAACATGTTTATATCCAAGAAAGCTCATTTGGACATAAAAACTGCTGATTCTTAAAGGTGCTGCCACACTCCTTTCTCTCTCCCTCCTTTCCTTAGTATTTATAACAGAATTCTGTTTTTATTTAATTATATGCTCTGAACAATTGTGGTTCATATATTTAATAATACTGCCAGCACCTGCCTTTTGGGACATCACTGGGACGATCTTTAGATCTCGGGTACATGTTTTCAAAATAGTTTGCTTTTTCAAGTTATACCCAAGGAATTAGTTAAACCCTCTTATAAATACTTAGTGAATACTAACAGTACTGTCTTACTATATATTCTGAACACAACTATTCAGTTATAAAGTTGCTAACAACAATAACACCTGGTGACCACTGCTGCTGTCAACAGCAAAAGCTATTTATTATCAGAGTTATTCAAGGCCGAAGTAGTCACTGAAGCTTTTCAAAATCTGATGCAGGCAGGTAAACATTTTTAATTGTTCTGTTCAGATCAGCTCCTAACATTTGCTGTCAACTGTAAAAAAAAAAGAAAAGAAAAAGCAACAACCTGAATTCTATAGAAATGATATAACAGCTTTTGAAGTTTTCCAGTAAAAAAAAAAGAAAAAAGAAAGCTTGACTAGCACATATGTTGTTCGAAGCTTAAACTTCAAGTTTGTAATATGAGATAGTCAGTATTATGTGATTGGTTGACATATATTTTCAAATATAGATATATATACTTTTTTAAAAAAAAAGACTACAACAACCGAACTATAGCACTCCTGGGAAATCTATACTGTTAAACCATGTCTGTTATTGCTACTTGCAAAACACAATATCCTTCAAATTTAAACATTACAAGACCATTTACAGGAGATGGCTTACTGTGCTTGTGGAAGGAAGGGCAGAAGGGATTGACTGGACTGTACCATGTAATTTCTGACAGACTTTATGACATGGGGAAGTATGCTCAGATGATGCTCATTGGTTGCTGGACACACACCAATATGTCACGAATCCTGAGTCCCATGTTACTTTCTGACCACCATTGAGAAAAACCATATATAATGAAAATACTGATGTATAACGCTAAATGTTTTAGTCAAAAATCAACCGAAAAAACTTAGGTAACATCATCCATGAATCAGTGTGAGTACTGTACCTTACCTCTTAAAAAGGAACCATCTCCTTTTCCAAGTAGAGTGTCAAGAGCTTAGTCCATCCCAGGAGGACCTAAAAGAAGCAACCATCTACCCCTTTCTGGCCTTTCTGAATGCCTGGGTAGTGAAATGGTGGCAGCCAAGCTATCCCCTGAGGTAGGATCAATACATTTCCTTATTTGCGGAATTGACTTATCCATGTTTTTGGCCCCAAAACCTGCACTCGATTTACACATGAGGCCAACTTATACATTAGTATGTATGATCAGTTCTGCACAGTTTGTATTATCTTGATATGTATATTCTATGAAATATGAATGAGTACAATACCAAGAAACTCTGGTGTGCTTAAATTTCATCAGAATTAATGCACCCCCCCCCCCCTTCACCACCATATGTTTAAATCCCATTTTCTAGATTGTTGCAAGTGGTCAAAGTGGATTCATCCAATGGCTGTAATCCTGCTCTCAACCATATCTTTAAGTCCCCCTTTTTCTGAATTAGAAAGAGAAACTGCTCCACTCAATAGCCTGAGCCAACATTTTTGTTTTTTGTTGGCAAGAGAAGTTCATAATAGAGACTAGGATTTTAACACAAATGCTTATATAACATATAAGCTTATATAACATTTCAGTATTTGTTGTGAATATAAATCTGCATATACCATATTTTATTATTATTTTTCTTCACACTGTTTTGAAACATTAGTTATATATTTACAGTGCTCAAGGCAGCTGTTGCTTACACACACACACACACTTGCAGCAATTGTTACCATGACAGAGGGAGTTTCGGCACTGTGAACTAGCACTCAAAAGACACTATGCAAAATAATAATAATAATAATAATAATAATAATAATAATAATAATAATTCAGATTCAGACAGACAGAGTTTTGGAGCATAATACTCCTGACCTCACAATCGTGTTAAAAAACAAAGTATGGATCGTCGATGTCGCAATCCCAGGTGACAGCAGGATTGCAGAGAAACAACTGGAAAAAGTGACACCATATGAGGATTTAAAGATCGAACTGCAAAGACTCTGGCACAAGCCAGTAAAGGTGGTCCCAGTGGTGATCGGCAAACTGGGTGCAGTGCCTAAAGACCTTGGCCTGCACTTAAACACAATCGGCGCTGACAAAATTACCATTTGCCAGCTGCAGAAGGCCACCTTACTGGGATCTGCATGCATTGTTCACCAATACATCACACAGTACTAGACACTTGAGAAGTGTCCGACGTGTGATCCAATTCAACAGCCAGCAGAGTATCTGCTGTGGACTCATCTTGTTGTGTTTCAAATAATAATAATAATAATAATAATAATAATAATAATAATAATAACAACAACAACTTTATTTATATCCCACCCTATCTTCCCGTAGGGACTCAGGGTGGTTTACAACAAATCTGCAAACATTTAATGATGTAACGTGCTGGACATTATTCCATTTTCCTTCTTTAATAGATATTGTAAGGGGGAAAAGACCGGAAAAGTCTTCAGAAAACACACAGCAGTTAAAAAGGAAGATAAAAGTGTCTGGATACCAATAAAATTCAGTGGAAGGGGCAGAGTGGCCACACAACAAAAACATAATATGAAACCATCCACCTTTTGCATTCTCCATAAATTGTGGTAATGGCTAGGCCTCCAGAATGAAAGAGTGACACAGCATAATTTATGTGCCTTTAACTTACTAGAAAACTGAAGTGATTTCATCTTGAAAAGGAAATTGCTAGCTGGTTTTCAGTTCAAACAGGAAAAACAGTCATTTTTAAATGTGCTGTTTTTCCATCAAATTTGGCACAATAGGGAGGCCTTATAAGCAGGTCCTGAATGCAATGATGCCTTTTAGTTTTAGCCTCTTGTATTAATCCATCAGAGAATTGCAACTTTAATGTGCAATTAAAGCTTTAATTTATTAGTCTTCCACATTTGCAGCTGCAGTAATTATGCATTCAGGCAGTACTCATTGCTTGCCACTTAATTCACCTACACAAAAAGTCCATCAGTTTAGAAAAGAAACTGTCATGAGAAAAAGCTTCAAAGCCGTAAACAGCCTTCTATTTTTATGGCTGCATTTGTAACTTGCATTCATGTGCAGACCTCTGAAAGAGACTGGCAAAAAACAAACAAACATGCACATAAGCTTTAGATATTAAAACAGAAGATGAAAAATATATAAGAAAAACAACCTGTCCATTTCAAGCACGCTAAGAAAAGCTCATATATTCTTACCTACTATGATAGAGGATTCACAGTAGTAGTAGCCATTAGATTGCTTTTTTTTCAACATGGAGCAAAGATCTAGACGCGTCATGGGTTCATCTCCAAAATGATGATTCTTGAAATTCTCAAACAAATGTGGATCAATTTTTTTCACTCCCTTTACATATCAAAGAAAAATACATAGAGGAAAAGCAAAATTAGTATGCACAGTATATTAGAGAGCAGATTTTTCAAACTTTTAAAATCCTTGGTGATTCCCCAAAATACTAATACAATGGGGTTTTTTGATAGTTACCAACACATCTGTATTAGAATTCAGCTGCAGAGATATAACAATTGCATTTCAATGGCATAAATCAAAGAAATTCTCACCTATTCTTATAAAATCCAGATTATCTGCTTTGAACTGGATAATATGCAAATGTAGACTGATATAATCCACTTCAAAGCAGATAAACAGAAAACCTGTCAGATCCTGGGATACAGAGCCTATCTGGAAGGGCCCTGAGTTACACAGCAGTCCTAAGGACAGGGAGTAAAAGTGTTTTGTCTTATGTCATAACAACATGTAGATTCTCCACAATATTTACCACACACAATTTTCATTTATTTTTTCACGCTGTCCTTTAGCCAGCAAATTATCTGTGGGATTTGTGTGTGTGTGTGCATGTGTGTATACGCCTTCAGGCTGCCTCTTGACTTGTTGCAACCCCTATGAATTTCATAAGGGTTTTTCTTTTACAAGAAATTGAGGTGGTATCGCCAATACCTTCTTCAGACAAATAGACACATAGGCCCCTTCTACACTGTCATATAATCCAGATGATCAAATCAGATAATCCACATTATCCCAGATTATCTGGCAGTGCGGACTCATATAATCCATTTTAAAGTAGAAACCTTGAGATTAGATCCTGTCTGGAAAAGCCCTCAGGCTCCTTCTATACTGCGATATATCCCATATTATCAAAACAGATAATCCACATTGGATTATATCAGTCTACACTGCCATATAATCTTGTTCAAAGCAGATAATCTGGATTTTATTTGACAGCAGAGAAGGGGCCTCAAAGCAGGTGCAACCAAAATTCTCCTATTCTCCACTTGCACATCCCTTTTTTAAAAACTTTCCTCTGCTATTTGCTTCTCTATTTTAGATTGTGAACTCCTCATGGTAGGGTTCTGTTATATGTATTCTTTCTAAACCATTATGAACATCAATGGGACTCACGACAAAAACAAATATAGTCATCTCTCTACTTTCACAGGTTTCACACTCATGGAATTTACACACTAAAGAAAGATCAACAATTATTTTATTTTGTTTGGACTGATTTGTTGAATTGCTTTGCTTCTTCTGTCTTTCTAGTTGCTACCTTATCTCTTTAAAATACAGCAACACTGGAGAGACATTTTTTTAAAAGCAAAGAAATAAAAGTTAAAATAGTGGGTTGCTGTGAGTTTTCCAGGCTGTATGGTCATGTTCCAGAAGCATTTTCTTCTATTTTGGAACAGTTTCTCCCTGTAGAGATGTGTACATTAAAGCTCAGAAAGCAAAGTTGCTGTTGCTTGATGCTTGTTTATTACTGTTATGCTGTTTTGTGTCTTTTTAATTTGTAAATTGCTGTTGTTTTGCTTTTAATTGTATGTTGCCTGGGCTTGGCCCCATGTAAGCTGCCCCGAGTCCCCCTGGGGAGATGAAGGCGGGGTAGAAATATAAAGTTCTTCATCTTCATCTTCAAAGATGTCACTGTATTGTCAAAGGCTTTCATGGCCGAAATCACTGGGTTGCTATGAATTTTCTGGGCATTTGGCCATGTTCCAGAAGCATTCTCTCCTATGGCCATACAGCCCAGAAAACTCACAACAACCCAGTGAATCCAGTTATTAAAGCCTTTGAAAACACAGAGTTAAACTAGTTTAATGGTAAGTAGTACATACTTTATAGTTCAGTCAAAATCACAAAATTCCTAAGTAAACACAACTGTAGTAATCATATGCTGGTTTTGAGAGAAGTTCTGGACCAAATAAAGCTCTCAGAACATGGGGCCCTTCCACACAGCCCTATATCCCAGAATAATAAGGCAGAAAACCCCACATTACCTGGGTGTGGACTCAAACAACCCAGTTCAAAGCAGATATTGTGGGATTGATATTCTGGGATATAGGGGCAGTGTGGAAGGGCCCATGGATGGACAAGGAAGTCCCATTTTGGGTAGTTGTAGGTTTTTCGGGCTATATGGCCATGTTCTAGAAGCATTCTCTCCTGATGTTTGGCCTGCATCTATGGCAAGCATCCTCAGAGGTTGTGAGGTCCCATTTTGCTCGGTTTTCTCTCATTCTTAAACCATGCCTGACATCTAGTGCTCAATCCCACGAACTACATGTCTCAAGACCAATCTGTTGCATGTAACCCTTTCCCTGAAAATGAGAACCTTCAAAGAATTCATTTGCAATATTAACCCTTGAGTTTCAAAACAACTATCCCTAGTTCAAAGCTGTGTTGTTTTTTTCAACTCAAGGGTAATAATATCCAGGGACAGCCTAGTTCAGGCATAGGTGAGCCTGGGGCCTTCAGGTGTTTTGGACTCCAACTCCCACCATTCCTAACAGCCTCAGGCCTTTTCCATTTCACCCTCAGCCGCTTAAGTGGCTGAGGGTGAAAAGGAAAGGGCCTGAGGCTGTTAGGAATGGTGGGAGTTGGAGTCCAAAACACCTGAAGGCCCCAAACTCCCCCATGCCTGGTTAGACCATATTAAAAGTAGATTTGTGTCACTCTGTGTAAATGTGTCCTCAGTTCGCTTGACCCTTCAGCAATGGCGTCTGTGGGGCCTAGCATGAGTGAAACGCTTTCCAGTCTTCATCTTGTTCGCTAACAATCCCTCCCCCCCCCCTTCAGTTCCTTTCCCCCCTCTTTCTCTTTGGCAACAGGAGAAGATGAAATAATTTAACACAGAGCCTCGGAAACCCTTGTTCTCCACTTATGTGGGAAATGAAGCTGAAAGAGAAAGACTATGATTTGTGATCTCCCAGGAAGGAGAAGGCAAAACTGTTTGTGAAGAGACCCTATGATTGTCACAGTGCGGGTGGGAATGGAAAGGGATGTGGTTGTGAAGGGATTTTGCAAGTCTCGTCTTATTTATAATGGCAGAGAGGACAAAATTCCCCACCAAGAAATAGGTTGACAGGTTAAAAAGAAAGATGTGAAATCTGGGGGCTACTAAAACCTGCATTTGTGTGTGGCTTCTCTCATGTCCCTGTATGAGAAGCTGGATCTGACAGATGGGAGCTCACTCCCCAGATTAAATAGCAAACAGTATCAATATATTTACAGCGACACCAAGAAATGAGGAAAACTGACTACAGATTTCAGTTAAACAAAAAGCATTTAATGTTTCTATCTCTTGTTAGTTAATTCTCTGCCTCCTTGCAGACAGGACAAAAATAAAATAAGACTGTGACCCCTTCCGCATAGCTGAATAAAATCCCACATTATCTGCTTTGAACTGGAAGATATGGCAGTGTGGATTCAGATATTCCAGTTCAAAGCAGATATTGTGGGTCATTCTGCCTGGATATTCTGGGTTATATGGCTGTGCCGAAAGGCCCTGAGAGGGTTTAACAAGAAAACATGTGGAAAAATATTAAATTTCTCTCAGAAAGGTACATTTTTCTCTATTTCGGAAATATTCTGTCCTTTAAGCCTACAAATGTGGGAGGCTGACAGTGTGTGTATTGTCATTTCGTATTTTTAGTTTTTTGTCACATTTCTCATGCACATGGACTCACAGTTGTATATATTAGGAGCCCCCAGTGGTGCAATGGGTTAAACCCTTCTGCTGGCAGGATTGCTGACCAAAAGGTAAGTGGTTTGAATCTGGGGAGTGGGGTGAGCTCCCATCTGTCAGATCCAGCTTCTCATACAGGGACATGAGAGAAGCCACTCACAGGATGGTAAAACATCCGGGCGACCCTTGGGCAATGTCTTTACAGACAGCCAATTCTCTCACACCAGAAGTGACTTGCAGTTTCTCAAGTCACTCCTGCCATGAAAAAAAAGATTACATATTTCATACATATTATGCATGTGTGTGTGTATGAAAAGAAGGGGAGAAAGTCCATATATTTATGGGAAAACGAAGTACAATCTATATATATATATATATAAATGCTCTGTGCATAATGAGTACCTTAAAAACAAAAGAACCAATCAAGGAAATCACACCACATTTGGCAACAAAACATCTCACAACACAAGGAGTGACCATCACTCAAAAATTATGATTTTGTCATTTGGGAGTTGTAGTTGCTGGGATTTATAGTTCATCTATAATCAAAGAGCATTCTGAACTCCACCAATGATGGAATTGAACCAAACTTGGCACACAGGACTCCCATGACCAACTGAAAACACTAGAAGAGTTTGGTGGGCATTGGCCTTGAGTTTGGGCGTTGTAGTTCACCTACATCCAGAGAGCACTGTGGACTCAAACAATGATGGATCTGGACCAAACTTGGCATGAATACTCAATATACCCAAATATGAGCACAGATGGAGTTTGGGGAAAATAGACCTTGACATTTGCGAGTTGTAGTTACTGGGATTTATAGTTCACCTACAATCAGAGCATTCTGAACCCCACCAATGACAGAATTGGGGCAAATTTCCCACACAGAACTCCCATGACCAACAGAAAATACTTAAGGCCATCCGGTCCACCTCCCTTTTACAAGGGCAAGAAAACGTAATCAAAGCCCTCCTGACAAAGAGCCATCCAGTCATAGATATAGATAGATGATAGATAGATAGATAGATAGATAGATAGATAGATAGATAGATAGATAGATAGATAGAGATATAGTATCCTAGATTTGAAAGGGACCCTTAAAGAAGGACAATGATATCTTGCATGTTCCAGGGTGGGCAAACCAGCCAATCTCCATATCAACACTGACAAAGAAACAGCAAGAAATACTGTTTACCCAGAAGCATAAAGAAATTACATATATTAGAAACCAACACTTTCTCATAACTTCATTTTCTAGATCAACAGGCTGGGTCACAGCAACGCGTGGCAGGGGACAGCTAGTTAGACTCCTACGATATTGTGAATAATGAGTGGAGAGGCCTGGCCTACAGCTGTGATGGCGAACATAACAGATTTAACAGTGCTAAAAGAAAAATCTGAATTATATAAAAGTGCTGATCTTTAAGGAACAATAGACGATTGCAAGAATATAATAGTGTTGGTACAACGCCACCTGTATAATTTATTACACTATACCTTTCTTGTATAAATTGCAACCATTGTGAACTGCATCTTAGAGGAAATATATAAGGAAGACTTGAGAGATATAGTGCAATTACTGGAAAGCACAGTATAGGTGAAGGATGGATTAATCACTATGAATATAAAGAAATATAAAAGTTACCATCTGACCTCCATAAATTTTACAACCAAGAACAGATGTTATTCAATCAGATCAATTACCCACCTACACCTCCAAGTTAAAACAAGAGATAATATGTACCCTTTTAATTTATTCTGGGCCTTCAAAGACTGTGCTTCTTCTTTTACTAGTAAGTAGGAAAATCAAGACAGGAATTATTACTGTGTGAATTCAATTAATACACACTTTTAAAAACATAAATAGTGAGGAATGGGAGTAGCCTTGGGACAATAGGCCTGGAGATAATTGTAATTCTTTTGTTTGTTTCTCTGCCAAGGTGCTGATAAAATTCTCCTTTTATAAAGCTGTTATCTGCACTTCAAAAGAAGTTGTTACTTCAGCGGGAACTTGCATCAGAGAGGTGATTTGTTTTCCTGGAACTATAACCGTGATTAAAAGGTATGCTTCCTTTTCTCATACCCACCCCAACTTCAACATAAGGCCTTCTCTACCAACGAGTGCTGATGCCTCATCATCTACAAATTCCATGTTTCTATACCACTGAGCCATGCCAGTTAAAGTGATGTCAAACTGCATTAATTCTACAATGCAGATAGACCCTAAATCCCAGTAGAGGCCTTTTTGCAAAACAGAAAAACAACTGGAAGTCAGTTCCTAAAACAGCATAAAATAAATAATTGATAATAGAAAACATCTCAGTTTATCTTAGATCATACTTTATATCAATATTTAGCATCTCTGTGCTCTCCTTAATTAATATGTGTAATCAATGTTACAAAAATGGGCATCAATCTTATTATACAGTACTTCTGTTTTCTTATTAGACATGTCTAATCCAAGAAGTACATTTTGGAGTTTGTCTTATATCGTCAGGATCCTACTCCCATTTCTAATAGTTCATAGCTTTTCACAAAATATATAACAGATGCAATAATAATCTAATTTTGTGATTATAGTACTGTACAATGGGCATTACAAGTAAATCAGAAATCTGATCTTGTGGTAAAAGTACAATTGGTCAGAGTGAGAGAGTCATTCATAGAAGAATGTAAAAGTCAAGTAAGAAACAGTGATTTAATGACTTTGGAGAGAAGGAATACCAAACATGAGGAGGGGAAAGATTACATGAAAAAAACCGAACCACTAACAAAAATACTCTTCTTTTTACACAGCCCAGCATCCTCTAGAATTTTGTGTTTTGAAAGATGAGTACTACTACTTTTGCCACTCAGTGCCAACCTAAACCACTGCCTATTACTGAACAAGAAGATGAACAAGAGCAGTCTGAGATCTACCTGTGCGTACTGTGGTATGGAGGAGAACTGGGGATTGCTTATTATGATTCTGGAGATTGCTCCATCTACTTCATGGCTGAGTCACCTGACAATAAAGACCTCAAGCTGCTTCAGAAAGTGGTTGATGAAGTACTTCCAACATACATATTAAGTAGTGCTAAGCAAGATAATAGTATAGCCAATTTTTTGACCAATATAAAAACTGTTACAGAAGACAAGCAAAGGGAAAGAAAGCCAGAGGTTGTCCTCTATCCAAATATGGATTTTGGCTTAGAAGTAAGCAAGCAAAGGATCCTGTCTAGGCAATTCCCTTTTGTCCCCTCTCATATGACAGCCACTGAGAAAATTCTCTATTTATCTTCTGTTATTCCTTTTGAGAGCCCACTTGTGGTAAGAGCAATGGGAGGACTGCTAAAGTTCCTTGACAGGAAACGGCCTGGAGTGGAATTGGAAGACAGTCATATTGCTGTCCCCATACTGGCCTTTAAAAAGTTTGTATTGACAGATATTGTAAATGTGGATCAAGACACTTACTGTGTGTTGCAGATATTTAAAAGTGAAATACATCCTTCTGTGTATAAACAAGTCAGTGGGAAAAAAGAAGGGCTCAGTTTATATGGAATTCTGAACCACTGTAGGTGCAGGTGGGGAGAAAAGCTAATGAGATTGTGGTTCATGAGGCCCACGCGCAACCTGACAGAGCTGAACAAACGCCTGGATGTTATCCAGTTCTTCTTGTTAGCTCGGAACCATGAAATAGTTTTGACCCTACAAGAATGTCTCAAAAATATTAAAAATGTACCTCTTATTCTTAGGAGGATGGCTCTTTCTAACACAAAGGTCAGTGACTGGCAGGCACTATATAAAACGGTGTACAGTGCTGTGTGTCTCAGAGATACATGCCGATCTCTGCCCAGCACCATTGAGCTCTTCCAGACTATTTCACAGGTCTTCACTGATGACTTACATTACATTGCAAGTCTAATCAGCAAAGTGGTAGATTTTGAAAGCAGCACTGCAGAAAACCATTTCACTGTCAGGCCAAATGTTGATGCTATTATTGACGAAAAGAAACGGAAGTTGATGGGGCTTTCAGATTTCCTTACAGATGTGGCCCGGAAAGAACTAGAGGACTTGGATAACAGGATTCCATCCTGTAGTGTTATTTATATTCCCTTAATAGGGTTTTTACTCTCTATCCCACGCCTGCCCACCATGGTGGATAAGAATGACTTTGAGATTGACGGTCTGGATTTCATGTTCTTGTCAGAAGAAAAGCTACACTACCGCAGTGCCAGGACAAAAGAACTGGATGGGTTGCTTGGCGACCTTCATTGTGAAATAAGAGATCAGGAAACACTGATCATGTACCAGCTCCAAACTAAGATTCTGGAAAAATCTGCAGTTCTAAATGATGTGATTGAATACACAGCACACTTGGATGTGCTCTTGTCACTGGCAGTAATGGCTCGGGAGAATGGATATGTCCGACCCCACTTCTCTCACTCTCACATGATCCGTATTAAAGATGGAAGGCACCCCCTGATGGAGCTATGTGCAAAGACATTTGTGCCCAACTCAGTGGAGAGCTGTGAAACTAGTGGGCGAATCAAGATCCTCACTGGGCCCAATTCATCAGGAAAGAGCATATATCTAAAGCAGGTGGGACTTATTACATTTATGGCTCTGATTGGCAGTTATGTCCCTGCTGCTGAGGCTGAAATAGGTGCAGTAGATGGAATCTATACAAGGATCCACAGCCGGGAATCAGTATCTCTTGGTCTGTCTACTTTCATGATAGATCTGAACCAAGTAGCCAAAGCAGTGAACAATGCCACTGAAAGGTCTTTGGTGTTAATTGATGAATTTGGCAAAGGCACAAACACTATGGATGGACTCTCTCTCTTGGCTGCAGTGTTGAGGTATTGGATTAAACAAGCAACCAACTGCCCACATATTTTTGTTGCTACTAATTTCCACAGTTTAGTGCAGCTGAAGCTCTTGCCTGATACTCCTCTTGTCCAATATCTCACAATGGACACCCACCAAGATGGAGATGAGCTTGTGTTTTTTTATCAGATCAAAGAAGGAGTGTCCACTGTCAGCCATGCAGCCAATATTGCGGCTTTGGCTGGCATGCCACCTAAAGTGATTGCTCGAGGAATAGAAGTGTCAGAATTGCTCCGCAATGGAAAGCCCATCCAGCGCCCTGACCACTCCTCAAAAGAGAAACAGTTGCAAAACTGCAAGTCTCTAGTAGACAAATTTCTCTCCCTAGATCTTGATGACCCTCATCTGGATTTAAAGGAGTTTATGAATAAAGAGGTGCTACCATCCTCAGCCTCTATACTTTAACAGTATGGTGTGTCCTGTTGCAGTGTAATAGGAAAGAGTTTGGACCTAGCTGGTTATGGCATTTGTCTTTATTCATGTGAATCCTCCTTTAAGGTTCTTCCAGTTATTTAACCTTAAAAGTATTTAAATGTTCAGATGTTTTGTTTGTTGAAAATACTTCTTAATTCCTGAAGGAATCCATACATCTGAAGCTGTGGTTCAGACACAAACATGGTAAGCTGTTTTAAAAATAAGTCTGGAAAGAGTTTTTGGGTCACAGCACCCCTGCCTACTTTATTTTACATCTCAGAAATTAGTAACTTCCTGATACTTAGCAACATTTAATTACATTTGTCTGGTAAACCATAAATATAAAGCAATATCAAGTCTGCAAACTAAGAGATTCCTTCCAGCAATACTCATTATGTTTTGTGTTTCATTGAATTTGTTGTTAATGTTTCTTGTCATGGTCAATGTCACACACAATTTAGACTGAGCCTTGCAATACAAATAAACTCATATGTGATTTTATTACAGTGACAGTGTGGTTTCATACATTTTCTGCTGTACTCGTGGTAGAAGTGAAATAAGAGGTATCCTCTAACACTGAAATATGTATTCCTTTACCCTTTAATTTCCTTATACAAAAGAAACAGTACAATTTAAAACAGGCATGGGGAAATTTGACCCTCCAAGTGTTTTGGACTTCAACTCCCACAATTCCTAACAGCTGGTAAGGTGGCTGTGATTTCTGGGAGTTGAAGTTAAATAAATGGTATATTGGATCCACAGATTCCCGAATGCCCATGCCTCAAAGTTTGCACCAGAGAATTGAAAGATACTTCAATACTTCAACTGAACAGCATGGGAAGCACATAAATGATTGCAGGAAAAGGAGAGGTATGTGAAAAAAGCTTCCCCTTTGACTCAAAATTCTTCTAATAGAAGACCATATGAACAATGAAACTTTGGGAATAATAATTTCATAAATGTATTTCAGATATGTAATACCACTCCAGTTGGATTAGATTTCAACTGGGGTTATGATTCCATAATTTCCCAGATAGCAAGTTAAGAATTTCTGAGCAAATTGTGTTTCTTTCCTAGTGCACAAACTGAATCATCGTCACTTTAGCAACTTCAACTGCCATGCTACATAATAATAATTAAATAATTTAAACCTCCACAGAGATTTATTTTTTATTTTTTTTGGTCACAGCCCTCCATATCTCCTGGAGTATATGAAAGTGATTGTACCTGTTTTCTTAGCTTTGGGGATTTTGACAGTTTCATGAAGGTCAAGTGAGGCTTAAAAGCTTTATCATCTCCTATGATGATACCCTTCTCTTGAAAGAGGTTCTTCACAATCTCTAGATGGGAACAAATGAAAAGAAATTAAGACGCTAAATATTAAATATGGTTAAAAGTTTGTCAAAATAAGAGGGATTCTTGTTCCATGTACTGTATAAGATAATGAGTATCAATCAGAAAGAGCCAAACTCCAACAGGCAGCAAAGGCTTATGGTATAACTAAAAATAGGAAGGAAACAAAAGGGCACTGTGTCCAGTTCTGGGCACCACAGTTCAAAAGAGATATTGACAAACTGGAAGATGTCCAGAGGAGAGCAACTAAAATGATCAAAGGCCTGAAGACCATGTCCTATGAGGAGCATCGTAAAGAACTGGGTATGTTTAGTCTGTAGAAGATATGGTTGAGAGGAGACATGATAGCCATGTATAAATATGTGAAAGGGTGTCACAAGGATAAGGGAGCAGACTTGATTTCTGCTGCCCTTGAAACTAGACCTAAGAGTAATGGGTCAAAATTATAGGAAAGGAGATTCCACCTGAACATTAGGAAGAATTTCCTGACCATACGAGTTGTTCAACAGTGGAACTCTGCCTCGGAGTGTGGTGGAACTTCTTCCTTGGAAGCTTTTAAACAGATGCTGGATATCCATATATCAGGATACTTTGTGCTTTTCCTGTATGGCAGGGGGTTGAACCAGATGGGCCATGTGGTGACTTTCCAGCTCTATTATTCTACGATTCTGTGATTTGTTCAAAACTAACTTTTATCACTGGGTTTATAAAACGTGCCAAGAATGCTTGTGCTGTCGCACGCTGGGCCTGTGCATTAGACTGTACACAGGACATAAATTCTTTGTGCCCAACGGGACGCCGGGGCTGCCTCAAAATAAAGGCCCTTAGATTCCCCCAAACAGAGTCTTTAGAATGCTTAAAGTAAGTCCAACAAAGTTCTTTTATTAAGGAACAAACAGGTATTGTAGAGCTTTAAAGTATCAGTTCTCTCAAACTTGTCCGCTAGGAACAGGCACTATCTTCTTAACTATAATTAACTAAAGGGGAAATCCTAGCTTCTAATCTGGGCAGTCTGTACTTGCCTCTGTTGACGTGGAGCCCCTGCACCCGGTACCAACTGCGTCTGGCTTCCGCGAGTGACCCTTGCCTCAACAGAGCTTTGTAGACCTCCAGGGAAAAAGAAGGAGTTCAGGTTGCTGTGATGGCCGGCTGGAGTCCCTCAGCCAAGCTGTGGCTGTATGTCTCCTGGCCAAGCTGTAGGGCTGTATAACCGCGGCCAAGCTGTAAAAGACGAAGCTTTTCTACAGGAGCCACTTCGTTCTGTGTCCTGTGCGAAAGGCTTCTCTGTGAGAACTAACTCAAAATGGCTCCTGTTCCCTCCAAAACTCAAAAAGGGGCGGGACCAGGGAACCTAACTATAACTGGCAGGTGGCTTACCCTATAAATGCAAATTATAACAGGAAACCCCCTGCTGCAAAATCCCAAGCATGGGATTGCACACAAACATTTAAACACAGCAAATAAATCTGGAGCTCCTGGAACAGCTGTTCCAGAACACTCCTGGCCTAGATTTCTCAATGATGAGAAATCTACACTATAATAAATGGACCAAAACATCGTGAGTCAAATTCTTACACTCTAAAAACATAGCATTCAAAATCTTTCTATACAAACCAATCATACGTTCCCACACACCCCCCATGTGAGACGCATGCGGTACATTAAACAATCATGAAACCTTTTCTGTACTCAAATACCTATTGACACTGGGGTCCTATCTGGGGGCACTTTTAACTTAGGGATGGTGGCATCAGATGGAGCAATCTCGGCCCTGGCCCTAACAAAACCCAAAGAGCAAGAACTAGAGCCTTTTTGTCTGGCATAAGCCACAGCTGTGATAGCTTTCTCCAAAGCGTCGCAAAAGACATGGAGTTCGGTGTGCAAGTTCTGTAAAGGGCTCCTGGCCGTGAATTGGCGTGGGATGCTCAGCTGGTGTAAATCTTGAGCCTGAACGATTTGCTGTTTGGTCTTGGGATCACGCTGTATCTTGCGTCTCAAAGACTGCAGTCTCTTCTTTTCTACCTGTCTGTTGGGAGGCAGGGTAGGCCGGTATGCTTTGAAGGGCAAAGGGGCAATCCAATTCCCTTCTTCGCTGAGAGTGACCTCATGATGTTCAGGAGCGCTTGCTCATCTCGGGAGAGCGCTGTGTTCTCATCATCCCGGGACACATCGAAGATGGAAGAGAACTCAGATGAAACTCCTTGGCAGCAAACCGAAATGTGGCTGAGGCAACTCTGCATGAGGGTGACTCTGCCACAATTGAGGGTGCTTGGCTGATCTGGACGCAGAGAAGACGGAGGATGCATTCTGTCAACACATACAGGTCCCTGTATGGTCCATCCTAAAGGAGTCTTCTGTGCCAAAGGTGCACCAGGAGGACCTCTCTTCTCAGCTCGGATGCTCATCAAGCTGGGGCAGTTGGATCCAATGAGCAGGACTATGTCAATGCCCGGCTCAAAGGGTGGAATGAGGTCCTGTAGTCCTTTCAGGTGAGGATGCGCTTGCATCATCTCTCTGGTAGCAATCTGGTCCTTATTGCGTGGGATGGACGCACACTCAATAAGGTCAGGCAACTCAAAACGAATGTCTTTGCCACATGGCGAAATGATAAATCCAGACGCAACGCGGCCCTGTCTTCGTTGTTTGCCTGTACAAGTAGAAATACAATAGTCAATAGTCTTTGCCTGCCCCTTAAAGATCTTGAAGAAGTCAGGGGTGGCCAGGGAACTGTCGCTTTGGTTGTCAAGGGCCACGTACATTTTCTTCTTCATCCAAGGTTTGCTGGCAGGAAAAACCTCTGCCAAACAAATGGGGTGGCAAATCCTAGTTTTCTTTGGGCTGCCGCACAGCTGTGTGCAAGCCACAGAGGGTGCCTCAGTGCCCGATGAAGGTCCAGCTGAATCTTCTGGGGAGGCTTCTGGGGAGCGTGGACTGGTGGCTCCACTCTTGACCTTGGAGGGCACGAAATCCTTGTCATGCATAGCTGAGCAATGCCTTTTGGATTGGCACATCTCGCACTTCACCTTTTCTTTGCATGACTTTGACTGGTGGGGAGTTGCACCGCAGCACCTGAAGCAGATCCTGGACTTCTTGAGGATCTCAACCTTGTCTGCGTGAGGCTTCTTGGCAAACTTCCTGCAGTCGGCCAAACTGTGGGGCTTTGCATGCAGTGGGCACAAAACATCCTCGGGGTCAGCTGGAGATGAGTTGGTCTCCGTGGACTTGACGGCAATGTTTCTTTTGATGCCACTATCTGCAGGTTTCTTAGGGTCTTTGATGGGCCTGTCCGTCCTTGGAGTCCCATAAAGAGTTGGAAATCCCGTCTGTGGGTCGTTGAACTGCATGGCAGCATTTGTGACGAAATCTACAAGATGTGCGAATGGTGGGTAGACCTGATGGTTGGCCTGTTTGAATCTGAAGACTTCTTTGCCCCACTCTTCTTGTAAGGAGAATGGCAGCTTCTGGATGATGGCAGTTTGGGACAGGTGTTGGTCCAGGCAGGCAAACCCTGGAAGCTGCGGATTTCCCTTGGCGGCCTGAAGCTCAATCAATAAGTCTGACAAGTCCCAAAGCTGTTCAAAGTCCTTAGGTTTGAGCACCGGGAACTTATGAAGTCTGTCCATCAGCGAGGCTTCAATTTGGGTGCTGGTCCCGTAGCGCTGATCAAGCCTCGTCCATGCAGTGTCCAAAGCTCTATCTGGTTGGTCGATGAGAGCCGAGAAAATCCTTCTCACCTGCTGAGCCGATACTGGACCAAGCCAGGCGATCAAAAGAGTCAATTGCTCCTCAGAGGAGAGTCTTAAACTCTGAATGGCTCGCTGAAAAGTCTTTTTCCAAAGTAGGAAATCTTCTGGCCGGTCAGAGAATTTCTCCACACCTTTGTCCCTCAAATCTTTTCTCGGGTTCCTAAACAAAGACTCAAGCTGCGACTGAGGAGTCTGAAGGAACGGAAGGGGAATTTGGTCAGGGGTAAAGGTGAAGTTCTTTTGAAATCTAGAAGGTCCATTCCAAGGAACACCTGCAGCCTCAGAAATGGGCGAAACCCTGATTTCTGGGCTGGGCTTTGGTACCTGAGTTGGTGGCTGTGGGCTCCTGGCCCTGAATTGCTCGACCAGCCTGTGTGGCGCGATGTCGCTGTCTGCAAGCACCAGGTTGCCGTTTTGGAAACCAACGTGGGCTGGCAGAAGAGATGTGGTTGGAGGCGTTGGCAAAAGGTTGACATTTTCTTGAGACAGTTCTCCTTGCAGCGCCTTTGCCAAGATGTCGGCACGGACTCTTTTCTGCGCTGCCTCCTGCTGGATGCGCAACAACTTTAACTTCGCCTCTAACTCGGCTTGTGACTTCTTTTGCTTCGCCTCTAATTCGGCTTGTGACTGCTTTTGCTTCACCTCTAACTCTAGTTGAGCCCGCTCGAAGTTCAGGCCTAAATCTGCCGCTGCTGCCTCAGCTTCCGCCTCAAGAATTTTTTCTTGCAGTTTGAGACGCCTTGTTTCCCTCTTGTAAAGGGCCGCCATAGATGAGGAGCTGCTTCTGGAAACAGACGATCCTGACGCGGAGCCATGTCTGCTGCTATGCCTCCTGCTGGTGTGGCTGTGCTTGCTTTGGCCAGAAGCACCTCCCTGACTGCTCTGCGCACTTAAAGCCTTTGGGGAATGCTTAAGCGGCTCTGGGATCACACTGCCAACGGGCGAAGCTTGACCATCCTTGTCCCTTCTGGGGGAGGGATCAAAGTAGGCTGCATGAAAACTGTGGGATCTTAGATCATAAGGCTTGCCCTCAGATTTTTGTGAGCTTGAGGTATGAGCCATGATAGCAAATTGCCCAAACAGTATAGCAATACAGGTGAAATAACAAGTGGAGCAATCAGTATATCAATAACCAACAGTCAATAGAACACACAATATAAAATGCAATTTCATTAGGATGCAGCAAACAGCATAAACATGCAATTGCAACAACAAATAGAGCAGACAAATATCAAGACAGC